TACTTTGGAGACATCCTTAAAAACTTTGCTACTCCAAACTGGAAAAACACACAGAAGCAACTTTCACGTACAAATTCAAGTTTTTGCTTAGTATAGTCTAAACTCTTCCTGCTAGGGCTCAAACACTAATGTAACTATTATTTTTTTAAAATTTGTCGCAAAACTAGAAGAAAACAGGTTATTGTGAATGAAACTCTGGTGGGAAAGAAAGAAAGAGTTACAAGCTCATTGTTCACTAGTTACACAAACGAAAAATTAAATATGACACCTTACTTTAAACTACACTTACCAAAATTTTACTTGTCATTCTTTTTAAAAGGAGGTAATTTTTAAACAGTCATAATAAAGAGCTTGTAGAACTAATATATATTCCATGAGATTTTTAACTGCCTTAAACTAATTTGTACAGATGTTTAAAATTTGCACAATTAGACTTCTGTCTTGCTGATAGAAGTTCTAATAGAAACAAACAAGAGGTTTACAAATTAAAAATCATTTGTTCAGTTTTATCTCGGGCCAAGCTACAACCGAGAGGTCGCCTGTACGTTTGAAAGTTGTACGATCTAGTTTATTGTAGACTTCAGCTAACTTGAAAGTCAGTTTGTCTCGTTCCCTGCCCCAGATTTGTTGTCCTTTTGGTGTGCTAGAAATAAGGGGAAGGGCTTCTGGATTTTCTGAACTGTTTATGTAGAAGGCGGGCAAAGGCGTACTGGCTGACTGCATTTGAAGTCACTGTGATTAATAATTGTAGGTGGCAAACGGTAACTAAAAATGTATGTGAAGTCCATTGCACGTGTTTGGGGTTTTTTTTTTATACTGTACATCTCACTTGAGAAGCACCTAGGCTAATGGACAGGCACTTTAATATAAACCTAAATAAAACATCCTAGCAAAATTAATAAAAGCTCTTAATGTGCTACCCAGGAATTTGTAATGTTTCAAAAAGTGAAGAACTGTTACTCTTCCCAGATTTAGACATGCACTTTTACCTTAGTTTGTCTTACTTGAGACAAATTAAAGCTTCCCTTACATATTCCCTTTTTACTATCAGCAAAATATGGCGGCAAATGTGTTTTGTTAAAAGCGGGGAGATTTTATTAATGTTCTGCAAGTCAGAGGTTGGAATCCGAATAGCAAATGTTGGGCTTATTCAAATTTACATTGTTACGGGAGCTCCCTGAAGCCGATGAAAAAACTTACAATGCCTTCAGTGTAAGATCGACGCAGGAAAAACCACCCTCCTGAGAATTTTAGCCTTAATTTTGACTTTAATGAATTAGAAATTTGGGAGCCAAATATGTTTCTCTCTACCTAACTTACCTACTGCCGAGTTTTCTGTGCTTAAATTGAAGGAACTGGATTCTTGGCTGCACGTTGTAGTAAGGGGGTCAAAAATATGCCATTGAAGTATTTCCAACGAGGGAAGACGAATGGTAACACACTGTTGCTCCTAAAAATGTTTTTGGTTTCAGGCCTTGTCAAAATCCATTTCTGTGGATTTGTAAAACAGAATGTAATTTCCATTTTTCATAATGACGCTTTGTGATTCCAAAATATCCCTGTGTTGCTTTATACTTCTAAAGTTTATTTTATAAGCAAAACAGCAACTCTGTATGCATAAACAAAGAGAATCCTTTATTTTAAGGACTAAAGGTTGCCTGAACTGGAATCCAGTTGGAAGTTACTGCTCCTGTACAGGTTTTGTAACGTGATGCTTCCAGTCAAAGAATAACGTAGAAATGATAATTCTCTTTTGATCACATATTGATGCATTCTAAAATCTGAATTTGGCTAAAATATGGTACTAGAACTACAAACGTTGCTGTTAAAGACCATTACAATTCGTCGTTTTTGGAGGTCAGTTTCCACGCCTTTCGATAGACGATGCCAACTCCTGTTGTAGGCTCCAGCAACTCCGAGGAAACTTCTGAAACGGTGGTGGTGCTCCGGGGAGCGCCGTCCCATACTGAGCGATGCCCATCGCACCAGCCAAGCACTCCTTGGGTCGCCGCTCCAGCTTTTCTCCCCCTTAGTATCAGCAGGGAGATGAACTCCAGTGCGCGCAAACGTTTGAGATTTCATCCTTCTGTTCCGTTTATGCGGTTTCTGATCCGTTGGGACTTTCATTGGCAGTGCCTGTAAACGTTACCGACTTTTTGTGTCAGCTTGTGATTTGGCAATTTAGAAATACGACTTCTGAACCGTGATGCCCCTGAACAGAATAGTTAGGGCACTAATAGAGGTAGCTGGTAGCAAGAGGAAGCCTGCGTGATCTTACTGAAAAGGGGCCCTCGTTTAGGAGGGGATCCTCTGTTGCGGGGGACCGTATGTTCTTAATGGTAGAACTCAGCATGACAAAAAAAAAAAAAAAATCTAACCCCAAACCTTCCAAATTGTTGTTTAGAAGTATTCTAATACTGCTGACTTGATACCATCGTTTCTGCTTCGAGGTACCCAAGGAAAATAAAATTATGTTGAACATCTAGAAACTGTGGAACAGTGATAAAACTATTTTCCCGTCTCTCCTTTGCAAGCTCCTGTTCGTGGGGGGCGGTTCTTAGGCAGCAGCAGGTGGATTTGGTGTTCATCTCTGAATTCTGCAGCCACGTCCGTGGGGTGGATCCCTGCCGACGTCCTGGTCACCCTCTAGACCAGGATTCTTAATTTTTCAACCTAATACTGTGTGTTCAGTTGTGCCAAACAGTCCCCTGACTGTATCTATTTCCTTCTGTCTACTGGGTAGGTTTGGAAGGGGTATTTTCATTAGTTTTTCATGATGTTGTATATACTATTTCCTATAATTTAAGGACCAGAATTAATACTGGAAAATTGTTTCCGAGTGTGATCCTGGCAATTCCCTTGCACAGGCAGGCCTTACGCAGAGTCAGTGAGGGATACTTGTCAGGAATTGTAGGATCGAGTCCTCGGTTAGCGGGACTTTCCATATTGAGTTCTCCATGTGCTACACTGCACTCGCTTGGGTTTTGTTTGGTTTGATTTTTTTAAAAAACAACCCACATCCTTATATTATAAGGTGGTGATTAGCGTTTTAACTTGCATTAACAGGGAAGTTTGGGAATGAGCTGAAATTTTTCCATAGCTTGACTCTGTTAAGTTCTGTAGTTGCAAAACATTAACTTTGTGGGGTTTTTGTTTTTATTGTAATAGATTATTTTATAGATTTGTTGACATTTTTAACATGCACTATTTATAGTACTCTTAATACAGGCTTATTATTTTGAGACTGAATATTCCAATGGAATTCCAACATGGAAATATTAGACTGAAGATCTTGGTCGATTATCTCGGTTAATACTTAAACCAACTGTGAAGCAGCTAATAGGGAATAATAGTTGGTTTTTCACAGAAACAATGTTTAGATGAAGAGGATTTTGACATAAAATGTTGATTGGCATTTTAACAGAAAACTCGGTGCTGGAAGACACATTCCAACAGTGTTTCCTAGCAAAGTGATCTGTTGCTCTTTGTTTTGTTCCAGAATTTTTTCTTTGGGGGGGAGGGTGGGGGGTGCTTGTTTGTTTTTTGTTTCTTTTTGACGAAGGGAATGTAATTTAGAAGTCTTCACTGGCAAGTTTTCTCTTAATTTTAAGTTTCTTTGAAAATCTACAGCAAATGGATGTTCTGCTGCAGGAAATCTATTCCCTGCTGAAGCGTTTTTCATTGAGCGATCTTTGTGTATGTGCTTCTAAGTACCTGCTTTGTTAATAATATGTATTTCAGTGTAAAGAGCATATTTTGTATGCAAAAAAAAGAAACCTGTTAGAGTTGTAAAATAAATTTTATTGTGTAGTGGATGTTTTCAGATGACAAGGTTAATTCCGAAATAACTATATCTAGTGTAGTTCATGTTGTGAAGCTTTGCTTTTGTAAGATACGAATAAAATAACACTTTCTAATTAAGTCTCATGTTAATTCTTAATTACATATGCTTCAGCAGGTAGAACTGATGAACTTCGCATGACCAGCTGTAGTCTAGATAAGGCATGGGAGGTAAGCTTCCCTTTTGGGAAGAGTGTATTTGTATTTCAGTCTGCTTAAGTTGAAAATGCCTAATTTTAGAGCTGAACTAGGACACACTGTTACTCCTTTCCACTCTTAATCTTGCACATTTGATGATTTTTCTAAATTCTTTGTTTCCTTATACTCCCATTTCCTTATCAAGAGCGCACGCGTGTCTGAAATCAGAGGTTTTGTCACGGTAAGGTGGTTGTCGCTGCATATGGAACTTCTATGTATGTTGTTAACATCTGGTGCTGCCTTCAAAGTTGCTAAGTTCCTTTGGGCACTGGAGTTAATCCTACACGCGTGTGTATGCGCATGCAACTCTCAAGGGCCTTAATTTAACCACCTCTCAAATTTCTTGTTCTTTGCAGTTTCTGTCAGGCAAACAAGCAGAAAAGCCGAGAGCCCGATGTAAAAAAGGGACTTAAACTGAAGCGGGACATGGGTTAAACTGAGGTGCTGACATCCTGACATTGCTGTACTTCGTTGTTAACCCACTTCACGCTTGAAATGCTGAACTCCATCTCACTTCGTGTTTTGATTCCTTCCCAGGCACGCGGTCTGTGGAAATGCTCAGCTGCCCCTTTGACAGAGCAGAGCAGGTCACCGTCCAAGGTGCTCTTCAAACCCTCAGCTGGAGGAGGCCCTGGGAGAGCTGATCCAGCTTGAAGGTGGTCCCGCTGTAAGCAGGAAACAGGACTAGATGACTTCTAGCTGTTCTTCCCAGGCTAACTTTTTCTATGATTCTGTGAAATTTAAAATCTAAGGACGGTTTGTGGTCGGCTAGATCTTCAAAGTCCAACACAGTATGCTATACCGTGTTTCTCTTCCATAATACGGGGAGAGGAGTTAGAGGTGGCACAAGCCTCCAGAGAAGGAAGCGCCATCTCTCAGTTCTTTCCAGCTGTACTGCTGAGGGAGTACTGCATTTTAAACACTGTGGACTCCTAAATAAAACACTAACATTCTCTATGTCATTATTTTAAAATATATTTATTAACCACATTGGTTGCCTTGTGTTGGAATGAAGAAGTTACACTTGTAGCAGGGTCAGAATATTGATTTTGTACGCAAATTTGGTTTTTCAAATTATTTCCTTGCCGCAAGTCTTCCAAAAATTCTGCTTTGAGTTTGTTGAGTTCTTCTGCCAGGCTCTTCATCTCACTTGGGAGTATATTTTTATCTAAAAGAAAATGAAAACTGAACATTTTGCTTCATGTTTAAAAACAAAATTTACAGACTTTAGCTCACATACTACAAATAACCAGACTTCTGAAGGTGGTTGCCTCTGTCACAGCTGCAGGGTTGGGATTCCTTAACAATTTACCCCAAGGGAGCTTCATCGGCTTAGTCTAATGTTGCCAGCTAACACCCAGAATATGCTGCATGTACCTTTGGCATCCTTCATTGTCTGAGAGATGATGCGTCTGCATATCCCGTCAGCCTGATGGACAGTACTAGCCGCACAGATCGCTCGATCCGCTTCCTATCCAGGGCGACCAACAGAAAGGAAGAATACACGCAAACACATTAAATTTGATTTAAGCTGCCATAAACCTCTGAATTACTCTTTGAAAACAAGTAACGCGTTAGCAGCATCTCGGTGATTGGCGCAGTGCAGGCCTGCTCCTTTGAATTCGGAGGCAGGTACGTGTATCTGGGGGACAGCCAGAGACAGACACGTGTGACATGAGGAAGTGAACGTTATTTTCCTCAGTGCGATGTGAGCACTCCAAAAGGCATTCTTTTTACTGCTGCAGAACATGTAACACTGTGCTTAAAGGTAGTTCAGTGGTTTAACTTAATAAGGTGCCAGCAGTACCCATTTCAAATAGGGTTAACTTTTCTGTGTGTGCTTTTGCAATCAAGAAATGCAATAGGGATTTCTCAGTTTCTGTCACCACAGGGTTCTGAATCCAGCTCAGGAATAACTCACTCACTCATTCCCCACCAACTGAAAGAGCCGTGACTGTGAAGACAAGCAGGGCTACCTTTTGCTCAAGGTTTTCCTCGTTTGGCTTCACTGGATTTTCCAAAGCAGTGGCCAGCAAACTGATTATCTGCTCACTAAGAAAACAAACAACAGAGTAAACCACATTAATCAACCAGTTTCCCTGAAGACTCTTCTTTCATTTTGTAATGGCACCTCACGACAGAGAAAAAAGCAAGTTTTCAGTTAAATTTATGAGGCAATCGAAATAATCTTTATATAGCAAATCAGATGAAAAACAATTACAACTATAATGACAGCTGATTATTTCCAGTCTTAATGTTTCAGACAATTTACATAAATTTTCAACCACAGTTTAGAAGTGCAGTTAGTTTTGAGGTTAACTCGGCAAAGACTGATGGCTGTGAGTTCCCAACAACTGGCGTGTGTTGTGTGTAATTGGCTTCCAAAAATCACCATACGGAATACGTGTTGTGTGTAATTGACTGGCTTCCAAAAATCACCATACGGAATATTTTTACATACTGTTTAGATACAGTAAAAAGCTTCTGAAAACACAGCTCATGGAAAACCCTAGCACCAATCCAGCAACGTACTCATCCTCGAAACTGCAATCAAAACTTTTCAGAATGAGGCTGTTCTGTTCCCAAGCGTTTTTCTTGAGATCTGGCATTTCTATTTTTCTCGCCATTAAACATATTGTCTGGTCAGGCAACGGATGGCTTCTCAGACGATTTCTCTGCAAGCAGCATTCAAGTGGACACTCTAAAAATAACTGGCAGAAGCTCAAGGAATCTAAAAGAACATAAACAGATGTCCTGGTTTCAGCTGGGATATAGTTAATTTTCCTCTTAGTGATTGCTGTGAAAGTCAAAAATACATATTGTTTTAGTTGTTGCTAAGAGATGTTTATACTTTTCAATGATTTTTTTTAGCTTCCCAGAGAAGCCGAGGAGCATTGACAGAATAACAGAATGGCCAATGGACTATTCCCTACCATAGACTCAGTATATAAATGAGGGTTGACTGAGGGGCAGGAATTCGTGATCACTGCTCAGGGTGGGCTGGGCAACCAATTCACCGGGCAGCGAGAGTGATGTGTATTTTTTTACCATTAGTATTATTATTTTTCTTTTCCATTATTGTTCTATTAAACTGTCTTTATCTCAACCCACATGTTTTTCCTCCCTTTCCCCTCCTTTTCTCGCTGCCCTTCTGGGGGAAGGGGAAGAACTGCGCAAGCAGCTGCGTGGTCCTGGCTGCTGACTGGGGTTACACCATGACAACAATTTAACCTTTAAACTGTTCAAGTAAAAATTTCTGGTAGCAACATGCACAAGGAAGGCTTTACATGAACGAGTAACTTCTACACTAGCTCTCAGCCTGAAAAGAATACCAACAATTTTGCCTTCAAGGCTGCTCAAATAGTAATTTCTGAGATCAACATGCGTAAGAAAGGCTTCAAGTGACCTAGTTATTTCTAATAATAAAGTTAACTTGATGCTTACTACGCTGCAGGAATCTAGTAATTGAGAATGACAAATGCTCCACAAGAGCACTTAAAAGAAAGGCAGGTGAAGCGCGCTGAATTTCCCACAAAGCTGCAAACATTGTTATGCGTAGGAAGAAAGAGCGATTACATTTGCGAGCCAGCTGGTACACCTCGTATCTCATGCTCTGGTAATAAAAATTGTCATCCAAGATGAGGTAGAGCGGTCCAGCCGTGGCTGCGGGCGTCTCAGAACGACCGGCCCCGCCGTGACTTTCCTCCGGTGAGGAGGAGCTTCC